TACTGTGGGGTTTTTCAAAATAATTCAATCTTAGTTTCATCAGTCCACAGAACATTTTGCCCGTACCACTGTGGAGTGTCAATGTGCTCTTTTGCAAACTTCAGGCATGCAGCAATGTTCTCTTTAGTAAGCAGTGGCTTCCTTCGTGGTGTCCTGCCGTAGATACCCTGCTTGTTCAATGTTTTGCGTATTGTAGGCTCATGAACAGAGATGTTAGACAGTTCCAATGATGCCTTCAAATCTTTGGCTGTCATTCGGGGTTGTTTCTTTACCTCATTGATGAGTCTTCGATGTGCTCTTGGTGTCATTTTGACTGGGCGTCCACTTCTTGGTAGAGTAGCAACAGTCCCAAAGTGTCTCCATTTGTAGAATGTTTGCCTAACTGTAGACTGGTGAATTTCTAAAGTCTTTGAAATCACTTTGTGACCCTTGCCAGCTTTATGTAAATCAACTATTCTTGATCTTAGATCCTCTGAAAGCTCTTTTTGTCGAGACATGGCTCACATAAGCGTGTGCTTCTTGTGCAGAGCAAACTCCAAAAGTTTGAGGGGTTTTTATCAGTCAAAGTAGTTGTAGTCAACACCTCCAAACTCATTTTCTTAACGAGACTCCAGGTGTGCTAAAACCTGACTCCAATTAACTTTTTTGAGGTTATTAACTCAAGGGTTCACATATTTTTTCCACAAGCACTGTGAGGTTTTCTTGGTTGTTCTCAATAAAGATGTTTTTTTATTATTATTTATTATTATAGACACATTGTATTTGTCAATACCCCTGACTTAGATGAAGATCAGATCACATTTTATGACCAATTTATGCAGAAAACCATGAAATTCCGAAAGGTTCACATACTTTTTCTTGCTACTCTCTCTCTCTCTCTCTCTATATATATATATATATATATATATATATATATATATAGAGAGAGAGAGAGAGAGAGAGAGAGAGAAAGAGAGAGAAAAGAGAGAGAGAGAGAGAGAGAAAAAAAAAAAAAAAAAAAAAAAAAAAAGAGAGAGAGAGAGAGAAGAGAGAGAGAGAGAGAGAGAGAGAGAGAGAGAGAGAGAGAGAGAGAATGTATATATAAATGACTTACAGTATGGATGCTGGAATTCAAACAGAAAGTTGTTTTAGGCCATTCACCCTTTAGATATGGGGTCGGATCAAAACTTGTATCTGAGAAAAATAAACTAAAAATCAATTTCAAGCAAAATTTACATTTCAAGTAGATGCACATTCATGGTCACTAATTGTTAAGAAAAATGTTCAATTAAAAAAATCACATTCAAGCACACAAACAGGGAAAAAAATCCTAATGTAATTCAGACATATACATGAAATGCATTTATTTTTATGAGTGATCAGGAAATTATCTGTGGAAATTTAATGGAGCATCATGAGGTACTACCAGAATTAATTGTTATAAAATTACAAAGAATTTTAGGCACCATTACAGTATAGTGACTTGTGCAAAATATTCACCCACATTAAATTTCTTGATTGATTAATTCTGAGTACAGTCACATGCTCTATTATAAACTTGTGTGCACACATATGTAACCAGGTTATTATAAGTTAATATTTATCCGCTAAGGTTTTACACTGTATGACATTCTGCCCTATTTTGCTGTCGCAGGCACAATCGCACATCGTAAAGGATTATTTTTGGTCCTGAGTTGAGATCGGTGTTGTTACAATGAAAATGTGACATGCTCAAAGGGGGCCACTGCAGTCCTATTATGGCAGAATTTTGCAGCTATGTTCATTGTTTTTATTTTTCATTACTTTTTTATTTATTTTTTTGCTTGCTATATTACATTAAAGGTGGAAAAAGATCTGAAGCAATTTATATTGGTGTAATTTTTTTTATATCCCCAAATTCTGCAATATCAACATGGGTGTGCTGACTGTTTATATCCATTGTATATTTTGTAGTGTTACATCCTGGAATTGAAATGCTCTTAACTCGGATTATATATCAAGAATGTACATAAAAGTGTTTCTAATATTTAAGTGTTGTGAACATTCAGCATAACCTGCAAAAAAAATTTTATATAAAAAATCTCTCAATATCTCTCTCTCTCTCTACACACACACACACACACACACACACACACACACACACACACACACACACACACTGATCAGCCATAACATAAAAACCACTGACTGACAGGTGTTCTGGATCTCAGGATCCAGATGTGCAAACTTGCAGCTGTAATTGCAGCCTAATGTGGTTCTGCCGAATGATCCAAGTTCATTTCAATTAAATTTTATGTGTAAAGTGCTTTTTACAATAGACATTGTCTCAACGCAGCTTTACAGAAATATCAACACAGTATACAGATATTAAAGGTGTGAATTTATCCCAACTGAGCAAGCCGCTGGCGACGGTGGCAAGGAAAAACTCCCTAAAATGTTTTAAGAGGAAGAAACCTTGAGAGAAACCCGACTCAGAAGGGAACCCATCCTCATCTGGGTAACAACAGATAGTGTGAAAAAGTTCATTATGGATGTACATGAAGTATGTATGGCCTTAGGGGCAGCCATAGTCCCAGCAGTCTGGAATTGGAGAAGATCTGAGCTCCATCCATAGGAAGGAAAGATCGAGATCTCTAGTATCTCCATAAAATCGTGTGGGGCTCGACAAAAGGAGAGAGGGAGAAAAAAGATTATTAGGACTGGGAATTAGTATAATAGAAAGTCTAGTCAGGGTAGGCTTGAGTGAACAAATACGTTTTAAGCCTAGACTTAAACACTGAGACTGTGTCTGAGTCCCAAACACTAATAGGAAGACTGTTCCATAACTGTGGGGCTCTATAAGTGAAAGCTCTTCCCCCTGCTGTAGCCTTCACTATTCGAACCAGTATTTCCGCATCATGTAGTGACAATATGTTTCTTATCTTAGAAATATTTCTGAGATGAAAGAAAGCTATCCTAGTAATATTATCTACATGAGCATCAAATGATAGGCTGGAGTCAATAATCACTCCAAGGTCTTTAACTGCTGTACATGATGAAACAGAAAGACCATCCAGAGTGACCATGTGATCAGAATGATTACTTCTAGCTACACGTGGGCCTAATAATAGTATTTCTGTTTTATCAGAATTAAGTAAAAGGAAGTTAGTTAACATCCAATGTCTAATGTCCTTTACACAATCCTCAACTTTACTAAGCTTCTGTCTGTCATCTGGCTTCGCTGACACATACAGCTGTGTATCATCAGCATAACAGTGGAAGCTAATTCCATGTTTACGAATAATTTGTCCTAGGGGTAACATATATAAAGTAAAAAGCAGTGGGCCTAAAACAGAACCCTGGGGAACTCCAAAAGTAACCTCAGTACGCATGGAGAAATCACCATTTACATCTACGAACTGATAACGATCGGTCAGATAAGACCTGAGCCAGGAGAGGACTGTTCCCTTAATGCCAACAACATTTTCTAATTTATCAAGGAGAATAGTGTGATCTATAGTATCAAAAGCTGCACTAAGGTCGAGTAACACAAGCAGCGAGACACAACCCTGATCAGAGGTCAGTAGAAGGTCATTTACTACTTTAATTAACACTGTCTCTGTGCTATGATGAGGTCTAAATCCTGACTGATACATTTCATGAATGTTGTTCCTATCCAAGTACGAGCATAACTGCTTTGCTACAACCTTTTCTAAAATCTTAGAGATGAAGGGGAGATTTGATATTGGTTTATAGCTGGACAATTGAGAGGGGTCAAGGTCAGGTTTTTTAATCAAGAGTTTAATAACTGCTAATTTAAGTGATTTAGGAACATAGCCAGAGCTTAGGGAAGAATTGATTATATTTAAAAGTGGTTCAATTACTCCTGGACAAATCTGTTTAAACAAACATGTAGGTACAGGATCTAGTATGCAAGTTGATGAATTGGCTGAAGAGATTAATGTAGCTAGTTCGGTCTCTATAAGAGCAAAATACTCTAAACATTGATCTTATATTGCTACATTGTCATGTAATGGGTTTGTTACAGTACTGTCTGGTTTTAATTTAATGGCCTGTATTTCACGTCTAATATTTTCAACCTTATCAATGAAAAATTTCATGAAATCTTCACTGCTATGTAATGATTGAGTGTTTCTCTCTGTAGTGTTTTTTTTTCTTTTGAGCCACTCTATCTAGCGTGTAGTGGAGTGTTGGCTCCAAGCTTTCAGTCGCCTGATCGAGTTCTATGGGATCTGACGGTGATCAAAATCTAACTGATGTTTCTGCGAGGTTATTTATGAAGCTCGGTGCAGTAGCTGATGTGTAGGTACGTTTAACGTGGTAGCGAGGCGAGGTGGAAATATTATGATCAATACGTATTATGAACGAGATAAGATAATGGTCTGAGACAACTTCAGACTGTGGAAAAATTACAATATTTTCTATACTTAGTCCGTATGTTAGTATCAGGTCTAGAGTGTGACCACCATTATGAGTAGGCCCGATTACATTCTGATTAATCCCTACTGAATTTAAGATGGACACAACCACTGTTCTCAGAGGGTCTTCCAGGTTATCAAAATGAATATTAAAATCTCCGACGATTAACGCTTTATCTACAGACACAACCAGGTTTGAGATAAAATCTGCAAATTCACTAAGAATTTCAGTATATGGACCTGGGGGTCTGTAAATAAATAGAGGAATTGACTTATTTTTTGTGGCTACATAGTTTACACTGGTATAAAGAATTTCAAAAGAATTAAATTTATGTCTAGGTTTTTGTGTGACAACTAGATTTTGACTATGGATGAGACCAACACCTCCTCCTCTACCAGTTGAACGAGGCTGATGTACATAACTGTATCCAGGAGGACTGGATTCATGTGCTCATTTGGTTTAATCCAAGTTTCCGTTAAACACATTAAATTACATTCCTGATCGGTAATGATGTTGGTAACAATAAGAGCCTGAGACGCAAGAGATCTAATGTTTAATAGTCCTAGCTTCAGATTAAAAGTGCTGGCTAGTGCAAGTGATAGGTCAGTGGTAGCTTAGTGGGTAGGACATTGGACTCCTGATTGGAAGTTCGTGAGTTCAAATCCCAGCACTGGCAAGATGCCACTGGGCCCTTAACCCTCAACTGTTCAGCTCTATAAATGAACTGATCATAAGTTGCCATGGATAAGGGCGTCTGACAAATGCCATGAATGAGTGAACGCTTACGCATTACACAAATGTTTGCTTTCTTGTTTAAACTTTGCATCACAGTGAAATATAATATATTCAAATGTAAGATATATTAAATAAATCCCAATTAAGTCATTATGAAATGCAAAACATTGTACAATGAATTAAGATTCACACAATGAGTCATGTTAGCATTAAACACACATTTGTGTGGGCTTTTGACATATAATTACCCTTATGAAAACATTTCTAAGCTTTTACGCACTGAAGATATGAATATGAATATAAAATGAAGTTTCTCTATGTTCCACCTTGATTACTACCATAGCAACAAATGGTACTAAAACAAGCCTCTATTCACTTGTATCGTCAACAGTTAAATGAATTGCCTTATTTTATTTGTTCTAAAGATTATATTACAAATTTCAAGAAACCCTTAATGACTCAAAATTTTTCCTCAACAAGTGTGTAACTGTGTGTGGGTGATAACAGGAACTAATATGTCTTGCAGATGTTCCACAACATTAAATCTAACTATGTAACTATAAATAGTCACATGCTTGAAGTTCCTTAATAACCTACAAATTGTCATTGCTTTTAGACATGTCAAATTGCTGTGGTCTAAAGAGGAATTAAAAACTTCATTTTGTGCTGATATAGGAAAATAATAAACTTCAGCGTGGGAGAGCACGTTTTTTTTTTTTTTTTTTTTTTTTTTTTAAAAATTTTTTTTTTTTTTTTTTTTTTTTTTTTAGAGAGTTGCATGTTGGATGTTCCACATGAACAGATTTTGATTTTTATTAACTATTATAGGTTTTAAATAAAGTGTCTGACAAATTAAGAAATTGAAATGCTTTTCTGGAAGTTTTGGAACACTTGGATACAAACAAATGACAGCTATATAGTACATGTGCATCTGTATAAGAAGTTCTATTTACTTGTTTTTCTAATAACCTGTACTTGCTTCTGCAAGTGCTGCATGACCACACATTTAGTGTGAGCAAGAAAGCCACTGAAAACATTTACCAAGTGTAAAAAAAAAGAGTGAGAGGAACAATATACTGCAAGACAGAAGAACACAGTAAGAGTACTTGGTAAAAATAAAAAATAAAAAATTGGTCACTCTTAAAACTTACAAATCTCTATCAACAATTTTGGTGAATTGGTATATACTGTATGTATACTGTATGTTTGTAAAAGTATCTGCACACGTTACAGCTAAAAACTAAAAGAATGGTGTAGTATGTTACTGGAGACAAAAAGGGGTACTGACTAATCACACATTACTAAATATTTTTAAATATTACTAATACCAAAAATACAAGCTCTATATGTGCATTTGTCTGCTTTTTGTCTACCCTGAATTATCCATCCATCCATCCATCTTCTATCACTTACTCCTTCTACAGGGTCGTGGGGAACCTGGGGACTATCCCAGGAATCATCAGGGCACAAGGCGGGGTACACCCTGGACAGGATGCCAGTACATCACAGGGCACAATCACATACACACTCACACACTACGGACACTTTAGACACACCAGTCAGCCTACCATGCATGTCTTTGGACTGGGGGAGGAAACCGGAGTACCCGGAGGAAACCCCTGTAGCACGGGGAGAACATGCAAACTCCACACACACATGGCCCCGGCGGGACTTAAACCCCGGACCCTGGAGGTGTGAGGCGAAAGTGCTAACCACTAAGCCACCGTGCGCCCTGCCCGGAAAGATGATGATGATGATGATGATGATGATGAGTATTATTATTTATTATTATTATTATTATTATTATTATTGTTGTTGTTGTTATTAATATTGGAATGAAACTAATAATAATGTGCTGTTTATAAGTTATTTATATAACACTTTATGAAACGAGGTCAATATTATGTCACATAAGAAAAGTGGGCTTAACCCCCCCCCCCCAAAAAAAATTATAATTAAAGAGGCTAGGGAAAAAACTATTTGATAATGTCATATGATTGATGCAAGCAAGGGATATGCAACCAAATATTAAGTGTTATTTACTTTAATTTACTTCAGCTGAATTGTTTCTATACTTTTGCTCGACTAAAAATTGGGTGGTGTGATACAAAAGGTTCTATGGTTAGTGTTGATTAACACATCTAAATGTGTTATACAAGGGGGTAAAGGGTGTGGTATACAAGGGGGTAAAGATACAAGGGGGTAAAAGCTGAAATCCTAAACTCTCATCTCATATCCGTCTTTTGATCTCAAACCCAAATATCTTTGGTATATAGCACAAACAAAAGAATTGGCCTTACTGTTCCAATAACTTTAGAGGAGACTGTATCTTTAGTAACCACTTTATCCTGGCAAGTAGTGGAGCCAGAGCTTATCATGGGAATTACTGGGCTGTTCATTTGCATGACACCAAGCACACACATATACACATTCAAACGTCTTACACCTATGGGCAATTTAGCGTAGCCAATTGAAAACACTGTAAAAAGAAAAATGTTAACTTGGTAAGTAAACATCACATGAAAATAGTCTGATTTTCTAGTACTTCCTATTATAAGATCACAGTAAACCAACTATAAAATTATTAAAATCTATTTCTAGGCATTCTGTCGACTTTCAATTTTTAAATGATCTTAATATATTGGCAGATCATTCGTCTTCTTATTAAATAGGTTTAATAAATTATTAAATAGGTTTAATAATCTTATATTTGATTTATTGCAATCTTATAATAGGAAACAGTGCATAGATTTGATTCAATCCAAGGTATTTCCACTTGCTAAGATGTCGTTTTTGCAGTGCACTGATACAGTATGTTACTACAGTCTGACTGATATTCATTACTCATACATATGTGTTTAAGAAAAAAAAGGTAAATACAAAAAATGACAGGAATCTTTACTTATTTAATGTAATTATCATTTATTTTGATCTGCCAAAAGACAGTACCTAAATATAAATGAACAATGATCTATACACATAAAACCACATACATTGTGTATGCATGTGCATGCATCTTAGCATATTCTGTTAATGATTTTAATGAGATACCTATGCGGAAAGAGCCAATATGGGAATATAAATGATAGCTGATAGATAAAAAATAATAATAAACAGAAAACAAAACAGACATAACGTGCAGGCAAATGAAAGTAGAATTCAGATTTAACAAGCAGTCAAAAGTAAACAGGTCTAGATTTGAGTGGTACATTGTGGAAAAAGTCTATTGTTCAAAGTGTAAACAAAAAATATTATGTAAATAAAACTGAATTCTATCGAATAGTAAGTATATTTTTAATCAGAAAAACAGGAAAGTACTATTTCTTAAAAGATCTAAGAATTGTATTATATTGCATTTCAGCAACCATGTTTTCATGTTATGCAGAACATTCCACTTTCTTCACATAGGCAGCACAATATTCATCCAGGTCTTCCGATTTCGGATTGTGTCACCTTAAGAACATAAAAAAAAAGATTTTAATATTTCAAACAAAAATATATTATCTAAATATTTAGTTAGGTATTTTCTTCATCTTGAATGTTTTAATGATTACATCAGGCCATTTAAAAAAAACATTTAGTGATCTGAGGCAATGACTGAGGCAATGTCTGAACAACAGACAAAACAACAACACCCCAAGACAAATACTCAACAATTTGTCATGTTTAATAGAACAGACTGTATTCATGAAGTTGAAAATTTGTAGGTTACTTAGGTAATAATTTATGTGCTGTATTCAGATTTGGGAACAAAGGTGTTAGTTATGTGTGATCCTGACTTTGGAATTAAGACTAAATTGGGTGAGTAAGGAACAGTATTAAGTCTAGTGTCACTGTCTTGACAGGTGCTGAACAATAGGTCACACTGAAATTCATGTTTTGGACTATAAATATGCTTTTAAAGAATAGCATTAGGGATCAATATTAAATACATAAATATGCCTATAACAATTAATGAGCAGTATTGACTTTACATTAAATGATTTTTTTTCCCTCATGGAGGAGACATCTTAATCAGAGCTGTGGTTACAGTATGGGATACATTTATGAATTCAATTAAAGTGAGCTGTAAGCATAGTAGAATGCTTGGTCAGCTTATCCTTCATCCCTTAAGCACATGCACACAATTAACAAAAACAGAGGCATTGTATTATTAATTTGACAAGTTAAAATAGCAAATAAAAAAAGTGATTTAAAAAATTGCCTGACTTAAATTTAGTATCTTGTGGCCACATTGTTTTGTGTGCTTGAGTAACTGTCAGTTCAAAATAGAAAATCAAGTGCTGTTTTGTACACCACCAAATAATGAATGTGGAAGCCATGTTGTTAAATTCAACTATATTTCCAATGATTAACGTGACTCCTGTTAGAAGGTTGTTTCAATGCTTGCTGTCTTCTCATTCATATATAATCAATTGTGTTTTCTTTTTTAAATTGTCTCTTGCTTTTGTGTTACATCTCATTACATTTCACAGAAAAAGAAAAGCAAAACCATTTCCTTCTTCAGCCCACATTTTCTATCCATGATATTTGTCAGGTATAGAACATTATGGAGAACATTGCAGTATAGAACATCATAGAGGTCTAGACGTCATTGAAAAACCCCATGAAGTCAAGAAAAATCTGGCAACTACACACAGGTGATAATCAGAATCCATGAAATCAATGAAATTAGTTGCGTGCAACTTTCACCATATAAATACTGATGCAACTTTTGGACCTGAGCCACCAATTCTGAATACAGACCATAAATTGTAGGCTACAATAGCACACACCTTTAAGTAGAATATATTCTATCCAGTAATCATTAGCTTTCCGTTAAAACTTGGTTATTAAATTGTGCATATTTTTTCATTCATAATCAAATGTTGTAAATGCTCTCAGGCCTTAAATGGATTGTTATTTCTGTTGTGAAACTAAAGACCTGTGTTGTTGGGGTAC